CTATGCCTGTCAACTCTCAGTCAGATTGTTCCAAATTAAATAACTATCTGTCAGAAATTAGTCAGTGGTCCTCTTCAAACGGACTTAAGCTTAATCCGTCTAAATATCAGGTAGTCAATTTCACTTTCAGACGTAAATGTGACCTACAACAACTAGTTAGCTCACATGGCCCCACTATCATTGACGACACAGAGGTTGAAAATACATCTAATATAAGGTAACTTGAGCTGAGTTTTTCCACCGATCTTTCCTGGTCTTCCCACATCTTGCTAGTTACTAGAAAGATGTTTCGCTTAACGTTCTACGTTAGGAAGTTTAGGCAGTCTGGCATAAAGCAGTCTTTGCTTTCTTCTCAGTTTGTCAATTCTTGTATTCTACCCATCCCTCTTTACTGCTCCCCATTAATCTTTCCTGGACTACTTAAGAAAGATTTTGCTTTGTGCTGAGAAGGGCACTAAAAGCCGTTAGTAAGGCAAGTGGGATATCGTTAAACCAACTGGTTAACACTATTGTGGATGGACATATAATGTCATGTAAGAAACTAACGAATACTATATTGTCAGACCCCGAGCATCCTCTCTATACGCAGCTGTCTCCTTGCATTTCATCTGCTAGAACTAGAAGCAGCTATAGGAGGCTATAATGCTAGGACTACCAAGTACAAAAACTCTACAATACCATACCTGGCACAGCTGTTATGTGATGAGAAATCCGTTAGGTATGACACGATCAACTTACTGCAGGACTCTAACAAATAGTCCCATTAGTTTTTGTTTTCCTTTCCTTGTTACTATTACACTGTTGTTCTCATCCTCTATCACACATCAACTTTATATTTCATATCATGTGGTGGATTGTTTGAAATGTAAACTCTACGCTGTTTGTTTAAATTTTTATTTATCTTTTATTTTTTGGCGTTGGTTTTTTTTCATTTATTTATTTTTTGATTTTAAATTTCTTATAAAATTTATGAGGTAATTAGATGCAATATATTGTAATGCACGCTGAAAATTCCATACCTGTACCACAAATACCGTTTGGAATAAAGCTGTTAATATTATTATTATTATGTATCAAACAGTCAGTGATACAGTATTATTTACTGGATGACAAAGTTTCGAACAAAATTTATTGTTCATAGTCATTTCATCATCAATTATCAATCGCACGACTTTGAAACTTGAGTTTTATAGTTTTTTCTTTGTCCTCTCCTATTTGTCGTCGTTGGGGTAGTAGAAGTTAAACACTAGTGTATGTTTACAGGAAACCGACACATTCAAACAGATATTTGGACTTCCAATTATCCCATCTTATGTCAGTAAAAATTGGATTGGTGAAATGTTTAAGTGACAGAGCACCAAAACTAAGTAGTACCAAGGAAAATCTAAGACACGAAGTGAGACATATAAGAGAAGCCTTGAAGCTTAATAATTATCCGGATAAACTAGTCAGGGAATATATAAGAAATTGTGAAGATAAAATAAATAATGATAGTAGCGATGGTGACAATAATAATGAATACACTAATAATGATAATAATAATAGTGATAATAATAGTCATAATAACAATAATATTAATGACGACACCAACAATAAGGAATCTAAATCTTCAGTAGTAATCCCATACAAGGAAGGAACCTCGGAAGCCTTAGGCGGAATTCTTAACAAGGTAGGAATAAAAGTGGCTGGAATTCAAACTACCCACAAACTCAATTAGAAACAAGCTTTGTCAGTTAAAGGATGAAACCTGTGGAGCCTTTAAAACAAAACAACTTAGTTTATCTCATACCCTGCCTGCAATGACTGTCAGGTCAAATACATAGGTCAAAGTAGTAGAACAGGGGCAGTCAGATTAGCCGAATATAAAATCTTAGCAAAATCTAGATTGGTTGACCCAAATAAGATGAGAAATCTAGAGAATAGTTCAGCCATAGCATTACATGCAATAACACACAACCATACAGTAGGATGGAATAGGATAACAGTTTTAAAATCTATTGTCACAGGGTGGAGGGAGAGATTGATAACAGAAGCTTTGCTTATCAAATCAACTCCAAATCAACACGTGTAATAGGCATGATTCATCACTTGTCCCTGATATTTGGAAAATTCTACTACCCCAACGACGACAAATAGGAGAAAACAAAGAAAAAACTATAAAACTCAAGTTTCAAAGTCGTGTGATCGTAATTGATGGTATGATTATAAACCGCAATAAATTTTGTTCGAAACTTTGCCATCCAGTGAATAATACAGTTTCACTGTGGGATAAATCTAATAAACAAACTAATATGAATAGTACGATGATAAAAATAATCACAACAACACAGATGGCGAAGACGAAGTGAAGACGTGGAATGAATTCTCTGGGAGCGAACCAATCAGGAACCGATTGTGAAACAAATAGGCAGAAAGAAATGGAGATGGATTGGCCATACGCTGAGGAAACCAACAAGTGACATCACTAGACAAGCCCTCGAGTGGAACCCGGAAGGGAGGCGGCGAGTTGGTCGTCCAAGGGTGACTTGGAGGAGGTCATGTGAAGAGGAGATGAAAGCATGTGGGCAGACCTGGAGCAGGGTGAAAAAGTTGTCAAAAAACCGAAGTCAATGGAGGTGCGCAGCTGAAGCCCTATGTTCCTCTAGGAACTAAAGGATACAATAATAATAATAATATGACGAGGGTAAAGAAAGGAGTTAAACAAAACGTTTTTGAACACATAGTTTAGGTTTTTTCCCATGTATAGGTAGCTAGAACTTTACCTGGCTATGCATTAATGGAGAAAACGTGAGCTATTGGAGTGACTGGATTTGGTCGTGTAGATCATTTTGAAGGATGAATCCTGTGGGGCTGAATAACCTAACTCTAGGTGGTGGTGTTCACAGATTGAAGATTTTGTCATCCTTTGCTCAGTTGGCATTAACTATACCTGGTAGTGTTCAGTATGGAGCTGATTACATTGGACGTTTTAAGCGTGTTTTCCGTAAACGCTTAGCTGAACACACTACCCGGTTTGATTGATGAAAGGTGAGCAAGCGACGACAAAGTCTTCAATCTGTGAACACCACCACCTAGAGTCAGGTTATTCAGCCCCACAGGGTTTATCCTTCAAAGTGATCCACACAAACAAATCCAATCACTCAAATAGGATTCAGTAATCAACCACTCTCTCTCCACCTACTTATCTTACTTCTTAGAATTTTAACCCTCTCCCACACACCCTATTGTGTGATTGTATGTTAATTTATGCAGTGCAGTGCCATCACTCAGATTCTGTTTTCTAAATTGCTTATCTCCTGTGGGTCAAACATTCTTACCTTAGCCAAATTCTTATGTTCCGACAATCTGACTACACCCGATCTACTATTTTGACCTATATAGTTGACCTTACTCGAAGTTATTGCAGGGTATTTTGTAAATTATATTATTTTGTTTAATTGGGTCCGCCGGGTCTTTTAGACTACAGAGCTTGTCTCTGAGTGAGTTTGTAGGTTTGAATGCCACCCTAATTCCTGCTTTATTGAGGATCCTATGTGCGGAGGGTCTCAGATGTCCAATCCTTGTATGGTATAACAGTGGATGACTTATATTCTTTCTTATTTATGTTATTATTACTAGTTTCACAATTATTTTTATTTTGCTTTTGGCCTTTACTGATCTTCCTAATAAATTTTATAGGATAGTTATTTGATAGCAACGCCTCTTCTATCTTTTTTATTTCACCATTTAGATCTTTTCTTGTATTATTCAGCGCTAGTGCTCGGTTTGTTAAACGCCTTAACAGTTAATGGAAAAGTGATCCACACGACAAAATCCAGTCACTCCAATAGCTCACGTTTTCTCCATTAATGCATAGCCTGGTGAAGTTCTAGCTACCTATACATGGGAAAAAACCTAAACTATGTGTTCAAAAACGTTTTGTTAAACTCCTTTCTTTACCGTCGTCATAGCAATGTTCTTTTATTTTATTTCCATTTTACCACTTGAATTCATTCCACGTCTTCACTTCATCTTCGCCGTCTTTACTGTTATCATCACCATCATACTCTTCATTTTGTGGATAAAACTTGACCTAATCTTAACGTCAATTCAATTATATAATAATCGTTGAAAGTTTTGTAATTCATCCACATTTTAATCACCTCTATTCTCATAATACCTACATGGGAAGCATCGTTTCAGCTACAGGCGGAATTGACGAGGATATCAAAGCAAGAATCGGAAAAGCAAGACAATCTTTCACTAGTCTCAAGTCTGTGTGGACGTCAACAGCACTCACCATGAAAAATAACATCCAGATTTTCAACTCCAATGTGATATCGGTCAGTACTACTATACGGATCAGAGACTTGACCAGTATGTCATAAAGAGCACCTCAAACAAACTACAGACTTTCATCAACAACTGCCTTCGCTCAATACTATTCAAGATCAGATGTCCGACCAGAAAAGATCAGCAACAGGCAGGGATCTCTGGCTATGAGCGAACCAACCCAGCAGGAACCGATTATGCAACATGTAAGGCGGGAAGAAATAGAGGTGGATTGGCTGGTCATACTCTGAGGAAACAAACCATCAAGTGACATCACTAGACAAGCCATAGATCGAGTGGAACCCGCCGAAAGGGAACCGGCGAGTCGGTCGTTAGTGTGAGGGTGACATGGAGGAGGAGGTCGTGTGAAGAGGAGATGAAAGCATGTGGACAGACTTGGAGCCAGGTGAAAACTCTAGCAGAGAACCGAACGCAATGGAGACGTGCGTGGCTGAAGCCCTATGTTCCTCTAGGAATTAAAGGAAATAATAACAATCATAATACGTACATTGACTGGCCAATTTATAGTACCAAATTAATGCCTTTTTCCATAATATTCCAAAAATATGACTGTACAGCTTAAAAATGAATTCGCTAGAAAGAAACTATATTTTTTTTCGCTGAACAAAAAAGAAAAATAGCAACTGTGCTTTTTCTTTATAATAAATAAAGAAAGACTTAAAACTTACTTTGACTCCCACAGGGTTCTTTATCCTCATCCACTTTTGATGAATTTGAGATAAACGCATAACCAAAGGAAATAGATAAGAATATGACAAATATCACTGTAATTAATAGTGGTACAATAAAAATCCAAAATTCATAAGATATGAAAAAATTTCTGATTTTCTCTTTTCCAATAAATAATCGATGCTGAGTTCTTTTGTGTGGATTATTATTATTATTATTAATATCCGTAGTAGTATTACTGGCGTTAACAGTATAAGTGATTGAATCATCCAGACCACTACATTTATGAGGATTGTCATCCTCATGATTATTATCATTATTATTATTACTAATGGTATTATCCCCGTAATGATGAGTACTGGAAAGGCTTGAAACTGCATCATCCATTTCACATGTCGCTAAACTCAAAGTTACATTCATATTATTAAACGTTTTCAGCAGATCTAATCTAAATTCACTATCCAAAGTAGATTGGCTCATCGTGTTCTTATTGTGATGTTGACTGCTTTTATTGCTGTAGGCAACAGCTCCGTAGACTTGTCTTGACTGCAGCATGTTGATGTTAGTCTTTGATTTGCCTTCAAAATAGTGGTATCACTTTCCAAACTATGCCTTTAGTTCAGTTCAATCAATTGTGTTAATCACACCACACTTATAATACATGTGTAAAAAGGCCAGCGAACAGGTCAATCGTATTGATTTTTTAAATCTGTGAGTACTATGATAAAAAAAAATCAGAATCACTCACTCACACATACACAAACACACACACACACACCAACTCACAATCTATACAGTCTATACACCACGTATTAGAGGATTTCTACTTGACATTATTAAACAATAAACTGCATGAAAATCACGTCTAATTATTGACAACTAGTACAGGTTAGTGTAATTATTATCATTATTATTAATTATAATATAATTGGTAATTTTACCCTTATTGCTATACCTCTTTAATCACATGTGATCAGAATTTAACAGAAATTGAGGTTATTTGGGTTCTGTTAATTATTGGATGTGCAGATTGACACATCGGTTCATATCAAATAAATCATTGAAAAAATTTTTGAGATAAGTCCTGAAAGAAGATCCTGATGATTAGGCGCTATTAGTCAAACAAAAAAAGTCTCATCAGTGTCCTGGAGTCAACTGTTGAAATGATATTTTGACTATTTCTCACTGGGTACAGCTTTCATATGACTAAACGCAGTGATTTATGAGTTAACAGACAAGTTACTGAAATGGTAATAAGTAGTAAGATAAGCTAACGTAAATTGTGCTTAAATTATCAGAAGTATTGGAAATATTTATTTCACGATATTAATTTCAAATAAGCAACAAAGCAGGATTTAATGAATTTATCATATCTCGGTAGAACTCTTCCTCAGCTGAATACTTCTAGACATACACAGATATACATACACACAAACACTGTTGGAAATACATTGGGAGACATAAGATTGATAAGCAAATAAACTACGTTGATTAAAGATGCCCATTCGAAATTTCAATAGGTTTCCCACTGTGTCTCATGTTGGACGATTTCTTTCTAATCCAACTAGAAAATGTTCATTTGAACAACCCTATCAGAAAATTCTCATTTTATTGCTGGTTTATGGATGACACCTTCATTCGTCGTGATAATTATTCCGATAGGAACACAGTAATAACTCAATTCAATGCAGTACATTCTCCTTTGAAATTCAGGTGGGAATAAGAATCCTAAAATATAATTATCACCTTTCTAGATATCCTCCTTACAAGGAAACCATATGGTAGTATAAAGAGAAATTTGCATAGGGTTAGCACATGGGCAGGACAATATACACATTTTCACAGCTTCGTTCCTATCAAGTACAAAAGAAATTTAGTAAAGACACTCATTCACAGAGTTAGAGCTATATTCTCAGTAGAGGTAACTGAAGATGAATTTAGGACTGTACATAATACCTCGATTGAAAATACCTACCCTGAAAAACTCATTAGGAAGCATATGAGTAAGAAACTTGAAAAGGATTATTCACTCGCTATCCGTAAACATGAAACATTTTTACATACAACCGCAGTTCAAGGCCGATATACCAAGCGAAATAATTACGAAGAAGTTAAGAAAATCAGTTCAAAGAACTTCTAGTGCTGGTGAACTACAAGTCTCATTGTCTAATCAACTGATGGCGATTCGCCGATTGAAAGATGAAATACCCACACTAGACTGGTCACCTCTAGTTTTATCTACCAATTCACAATTCCACTTGAGGTGGAGTGAGTTATACTGGCCGTCGCTCTAGGAACTTGATTTCTCGTGCCCACTCCGCAACACCTGATCCAAATCAGCCACAAAACCAGCTAGCATTGAACAGTCCTTCTCCATCATCTACCGACTACCAAATCAATTTCCAAAAACATCCAGGTACTGTATATTTTGAACAGAAGCGACTATTACGATTCGCCTGATACAACCGGTGGTCTGTGTGGAGAAGAAACGGGTCCAACCACTAATAATTACTGTCCTGGCTTGCTGTGTAGTCTGAAAATTCATTGACACCTTGATTCATCAGCCTTTTAGGATATGGTTCTACATCCTAAAGACGTAGTTTCTCCTACTCGTTTTCATTACACTTATATTAAATAACCTTTTGTTTTCATATTTAAACGTGGTCGTCAACTTACACACACTGACACGCATACAACGCATATAACCGCCTACCCCCCGCCAAATTCTTCTCCTTCTCTCCCTCCGTCATTCACATCACCAGTCATTGATATGTATCCACATATATATATTTATGTGTGTGTATGTTGGTCTCTCTTTCTGTTTGCTCGCTTAGTCTGTGACCACTTCACTTGTATGAACCTGTCTCCTTTACCAATGTATATTCCATTTATATTATATATAATATGAGTGTTTGTTGACCGTCCGTTGCTTAGTGACATATATCCATATATGGTTGTTTGACATGTCTGATATATATTTTGCTATATATATATATATTTCGTTCACACAATTTGTGTGAACTACTTTACAACTACTTTACTTACTTACCACTTTGGTGTGAGACCATTTTATTTTCGTCACCTTGTGTTTGGACAATAGAAGTATCATCGCAAACCTACTGGTCTTCTGATTTCCACCTTCTCGCGTCAGGACTATTAGTTTCTCGACCAGACCATAATAACAATTTAGCGACGAGTACATAACAGTCATCAATCCATTTGAAGTTCATAATCAATATGATTCGAATTTAGTATGATAAACATGACTCATGCGAATTTATTACCACTGTGAGTTCGTTGTCGTTGACAGTCATTCAATTTGTAATATTGGCGTTCAATTTACGTACACAAAGAGATTTTTGACTATGATCTATTACAAATCCTAGTGGAAGTAACTATTTGAATTCCGATCCAAATGATTCGATATTACTCTTTAAAATAAACCCATTGATTTTGTCAATGTCTATCAATGATTGTTTCATTATTATGGATGGATATACAACTGCAGAACCTGATGAAGAAGGGGTTATCGAAAAGAATATTTTTTGTTCAATAATCAAACTACGTTGAATGATTCATTCAAAACGACATAATATCGACGCTGTCAAGTCATTCACTGTTATCAGTAAACAAACAAGCAAACAGGAAGATGCTTGAAATCGCGGATGAGACTTCTGCAATTCGAGCTTATAAACCAGGTTGTCAAAGCAAGGATCGGGAAAGAAAGGCGTCGTTTCTTTACCTTCTAGTTCCTGTGGAGGTCAACAGCATTCAGAATGAAAAATAAGGTCCGGATTTCCGAATCCAATGTGAAGTCAGTGTTACTTTATAGATCAGAGACTTGTCGCGTCATGAAGAGCACTTCAAACAAACTACAGACCTTCATCAACAGCCGTCTTCGCTCAATACTTCGTCGAAGACCAGATGGCTGTCAAGAGACGACAAGCAACAGGAATCTCTGGGAGTAAGCCAACCAAGCAGGAACCGATTGTGAAACAAATAGGAAGGAAGAAATGGAGGTGGATTGGCTGGCCATACTCTGAGGAATCCCTCAAGAAACATCACAAGTCAGGCACCATAGTGGAACAGGAATGGGATGCGGTGAGTCGCTCATTGAAGGTTGACATGGAGGAGGTCATGTGAAGAGGAGATGAAAGCATGGGTGCACACGTGGAGCCAGGTGAAAACGTTGGCAGAGAGACGCGAGGCTGAAGCCCTATGTTCTTCTAGGAACTAAAGGAAACAATAATGATAATCTGTGTACAAAGGGAGATGGTTGTCACTCTGAATCGACCAAGCTAATACATCTTACTTATTCACTGTTATTATTATATTTTATTCTACCTTTTGTCGCTATTATTGCTGATTTAATTAAAACTATCTTTCATCAGTAGCACTATCTTTAATCGTTTCAGAAGTATTATTATTATTATTGTTATTATTATTATAACTATTACTACTAATATCATTCAGTTCGCAGCATTTGATATGTTGAACTTCTTCCTCTAATGACTAATTAGACTGGGTTAAATAAACTCTAAGCATCATTAACTACTAATCAGCGAGTGATCCTGAGTGGTCTATTGGGTTTGATACATGCGAGTTGAAGATTCACTTCAGCTTGATTCGAGTCAAATGTCAGCGAAGGTAAGCTGATGCTTGTAATATTTCGTAGAAAGATTTTTTACCAGATCCCATTTGTCCTTAATCAAGATTTTGTATATGTGTAGTTGGTGAGTTTTAAAACAGCCTGTGACAGGTGTAGCTGGCGGAACAGAGGAAATAGTCTCCTATGAAGAGTTGAGTGGCACCAGCACTGTAGAGATATCGCGTCATGAGAAATGAAAAGAGTCACTTCATTACTAGGAGGAGGAGGTGTCACCCTACACGTGGATGAGTGGAGAAGTTATAACTCTCTATTGTCCGTTGGATATATTCACCACAGACTGAATATTTCTGATGATTTTATGGATCCCGTTATAGAGGGATACATCAGTCAGTTCTATAGAAGGCTTCTTTTGGGGAAGGTTCAAAGACAGGATAAGGGTCATCAATCAACCTGAAAAGGATATTGTCATTCATAGTCATTTAGATGAACATGTGTATAGAATGTGGTGTAACTTTCCAATTGATTGATACTCGTATAATCCCTTGGGAGATGTTTTTACCACATGTCACAGAAAGGTATCCTATGAGACATATTTGTGCAGTTTTGTTCATAAATATATGCTTTGCATAACCATTAACGCCTCCTTTATATGATTAGTGAGTTTGAGGTCATTTAGTGATTGGTACTTAATGGTGCTTGAAGTTTATCCTTTCCACTAATTGTTTATCTAAGCGATACAGTTGAGGCGTGATGCACTTCACCTTAATTTTAATCTATCACACTCCCTCTCTCTCTTATCTGTCTGAACACGACTTGCAGAAACATGTTGTTGTTTTGAATGATTAATTCAACGAAGTGAATTTCTTTATCTATCTTATATCTCCCAATGTATTTCCAATAGTATATATAAATATATATCCGTGTATGTAGAGTAGTATTCAGCTGA